ACTTTGACTCATCTTTTTCTCCTGGAATTTCTCAGTAAAACAGAACACCNCATATTAGATTGATGAAAAGAGATAGCTGAAAAACCAAAGCGGTGGGTTTTTTCAGTTTCTTTACAGGCTTTTAAAGAAACCAAAGTTCATCCTGAGAGGGACAATTAAAATTAATAAAGGGGCTCTCAAGTGGACTTAGCATAAACACAGCACACAGTAAACCAGTAATATTTATGCTGACTATATAATCTTGTACTCAAGACAAGAAAACAGTTTCCCCAGAAGAGAAAACACATATGAAATTAATGAATGTGAAAAGGGCAAAAACGCAACAGGGTGCAAGAAGAAAATAGTGTCTGTTGAATTGTTAGGCTCTGTGGTCAGGGAAACAGCAGACAGAGAATAGTGGTTACCATAGTATTTCAGTGCTAATTTAGTGCATATAAATTTTTGGTAGCATAGTTGGTATATCGGTCACAGACTGAAATGACATTAGTAAATGAAAGGCAACTATGGCACATGGTGTAATTTGCTTTGTAAAGATCCAGTGTTTAAAGATTCAGATGTGGATACTTCTGTTATTATAGGGGCATGCTAAAGTTTTTTCTCTGGTAAATATACCAGGATTAGTCTAGCAGCTGAAGAGAGAGGGATGTGAATTAGAAGAGCAGCCACACTGATCTGTCCATTATCGGACACAAAAGGTTGATGTCGTGTCCCTGGACCTTCAAGCTTTCAAGGTATCTGTTAACTGTTTCCCCAGTTAATGAGTTTCCACTTTGAAATACATTTTTTCTCTCTTCATCAGTTCAAGTATTTGGTTGAAGTGAAAGAATAGATTAGAATGGTTCAATTTTAGTGTATCCTATAGGGCCAAGGAGAGCTGGTGAGTCTATAATAATTCTCAGTAGGGCATTTACAATGACAAGACCAACAAGAGATACAGGATCTTTTACTTTATTCAGCTTCATTCCACTACTTTTTTCCTTTTTTTTTTTTTTTTAATAAAAGCAAACCTCGTTCAAACAATACTGGTTATTGATTATATGAGCTTTTGGACAAAGTTCAAGTTCAGAATGATAATATAAAACTGAAGAGAATGTCATTATTTAGATCTTGAACAGGTTAGTCTACAGGACTTAGGACAAGAGAGTCATATATGAAGAAAGAACACACTGAAAGGACTGAATATGAAAGCAGGAAACAAGACTGAAAAGGTAGCATCATCTTTCATCTTCTTGATTGCAGTGGGTTGATTTTCTAAATTATCATACCAATATGTTCCACAACCATAAAATGGCACCTCAACAGTCACAAAACAATTGTGAACGTGTGATGGTGGCCTAAATGATGCTCTCAGACTGCAAGTTGGCAGGCAAAAGATTTTATTATAAACAAACTTGTTCTTTTTATCTGCTTTTCCTCTGTCCATGCGCTAATATAATATATGTCATTGGTTAAGTAGTGTTGTTCACGCGTCTGTATCTCATGGCTAATTGGTCTCTACCTTCTGTGCACGTGCCCCATCCTGTCTCCTGACAGGTCATCGGGATGTCTTCTCATGTCCAAACACATTCCTCTATCTGCAGTTGTTTTTCTTCTCTTTCTCACACTTTCTTCCTTAATGATGTTTCACTTGTTCCTTTGCCAGGCCACAGCTGTAGCTCAAGGTCAAAGCTGCCTTACTACAAACATGTGACTGCACTGGTGTATATTAAAGCACACAAATCAAAATTTACAATGGTTTTATATGTCAGTAGAAAGACATATGAAACCTGATCTGATGCAGATTCCTTGCTGTGGACAGATGTTACCCAACATTTTAAAAAGCCTGATCTTATGAACTGATCTGCTGGCGCTTGAGTGACTGAACCAGCACCAGCTGTTGTGATTGTAACATATTTGATACGACAGAAAGAGTCCCACGGACTGCTTTGTTGCACTGCCAAACTGTGTCATTTTTACTGAATGTCAAATGAGCAAATATTCTATAGTTTTATCAGTTAGAACTGCTTGAAACCATGTCTTAACACCACTTCAGCACAATATATAACCTGCACTCATTTTTGCACATTGGTTCTGAATCATTCTATGAACATTTTAGTTTAGACATAGTTTTATTTTGGCTGGTTAACCATTCCTCCTCATGCAGACAGATTTACTATGAATTCAATTATATTGCATTTGGAACAGAGAAGGGGGACCAAACAAAAGCGCTTAAAAGTTAGTGATATGAGTCTGTGCAATTTGGTGTTCTAATAATGAAAGACTATAGGTTCTCTGGTTTTTTTGATTGAACTCTTTTTCGATGCATCAGTATTAAAATACTGCAAAGAGGTCAATCTTCTTCATGCTATATACTATCTCCTATAATTTGAAGATTTAAAAAATTCCTTAGACAATAGTCAGAACCATATATTAAACACAAAGGGAAAGATATTAAGATAGCTGAAGGATAGCTGAATTGCTATCCTTCTGAGATCTCCATTCAAGTCCAACTTAGAAACTCTAAAGTCATAGAAATCTTAAATGACAGCAAGATAATGGTCTTTGATATTTGTTACTTATTAATCTTAAATTCAATGATAGCAAAATAATGCTATTTGAGATTTATATGCTTAATTATATAAGCAGTTCTTCAAAGTCCTAAACCCATATTTTTCATTCTTTGAGTTTAGTGGTGGTGTGTAATATATAAGAACTCCATCATTTTCCTAAAATACTTTTGGATTATCTTACCAGTCTTTTATTTTCCCCTAAAAAGCATTTTCATTATACATATGGACAGCTGCCATTGTAGCTTCCACTTTCCAAGTAAGGCTAATTCTACTTTTGGCAGTGGCTGTTCACAGTAAATAGTCTGGAAGGTAATAAAGGAGAGAAAGTGTATTTCCAGACACAGGTCTTTCCTAGACAATACAGTATAACATAGGAATAGAAAGGCATGGAGTCTGTAAACTTTTTCAGTTCTGATCTTCTTGAGTATCATACTTGCTTAATTTTTCTTCTGAGTATTCACCTGAATCAATAACATAAAAGTTATTGATTATGAGGTAAATCCATTTAATAAATATTTTGAAAATCTAACATAACTTTGATCTCAAGGGCTTTAATTAAAATTTTTTAGGAGTTGTCTTCCCCAGCCTGACTTACCTCTGATCTGCATTTTCTAATCACTTGCCTTTATTATTCCATTGGTGCATTTTGTAGCTTCTACCTTCCTTTGGCATTTTCTATAAGAAGGAATGTAGGCTTCTTGTCATCAGTTCTGCAGTATGCCAACCAGAAAATGTCCTCTAACCTACTCCAAATCCTTTGGCAGATACTTAATTCTGGGACTGAGAACCCAAAGACCAAGGAAATTATATCTTCTGTTTCATTTCTGATTTACTACAGCCTGCTCTATCTAATGGTTGTAGCTCCTACAGCATTAAAACAGGATGAACAGTCAATGTTTAAATAACATATCACTCACCTCTTAATCACAGGACATGCTCAGACCATCACAAGGCCCTAACTTACCATACAGTCATCCCTGCCTTGGATCATGATGACTGAAGAATTACTGCACATCCTTAGTATGCTACAAAATCCAGATATTATGTACTCATATGAAATGACTACAGAAAACCCTTTAGTTCAGCAGATGTCCTCTGAACGTCCAGATAGGATTAGTTGTTGTCTAATCAAAGTCTTATAATCATGAAGATGATGTGATGATGTTTATTCTGTGTGAATAATATAACAGTAAATTGTTCTGAGACATTTTCAGATTTTGTTTTAGGAAAGGAAAATTTACTTAGTTGAACTTGCCAGTGAATGATTTCTTTACCACTAAAATGAGACTAATTGAATTCCAAGTAAATGAAAGATAAGGATGGGAGTAGACAACAAAGATGGACAGTGCATAAGTTAATTACTGATAAGGTAATAGCAATTGTTTTGACATTCAGAGGGTGACAGTGCAGTATGTACAGCAAAAACTATTTGGGCTAAATTTATTTTTTAGTCTTTTCTGGAGCTTATCTGTACAGCACAGCTTACAGCATAGTCACAGAAAATATTAGCCCATGTCTGTTAGATTAATTTTATCTGTTTTAAATAGGGAATAAACCCCAAGCAATTCAGCTGCATTACCAAAAGTAAACCATCCTAACGTTTGTGATGTTTCAGGCTATTTGAAGGTGTTTGACGGATCCCCAGTGAGATTCTTTGGTTTTTCAGCACTAATTCAGCAGAAAACCTTTATGAAGGTCTGTAATAGATTTTCTCTTTAAAAAAATTCAGTGTCACCTTGAAAGTAAATAGCAACAAAGAAAGCAAACACAGGAAGGTTTTAAGAAATGTTTGTTAAATTAAACCAAGAAAGCAGTAACACTACTTTTAAATTAAAGAGGAAATCCAGTCAAAGAGTACTAACTTTGACCAAAATTATTAAAATTAGTCATTCTTGGAGGTTATGAGATGTTGAGTAAACTGCTGTGCTTCTTCAAATTCATTGCAGTAACAAAGGATACAAAAACTAACCAACATATCTCTATTTGCACATGATATAAGCATGCCACCTATTAACTGATCTTTTAGGAGACAGGAACACTTGACCGTTTACTTATATAATACAGAATTTTAGAATTAGTAAAGTTGTAGTAGTATTAATAGAATAATTCAACAGTTTTTCACACCAGTTAAATGAGAAAACATATAAAAAAATGATCCTTTATCATGTTGGTACAATCATCACTAATATTATTATCACTACTCCCATTAATATTATTATGTAGTTTTCCTTCACTATTCCTTTTTTAATTTTGATTGTTTCTTGACTGATTTTCTGAAAAATCAAATTCAATTGATGCCTAAAATATTGCTAAGAAAAAACTCCAAAGCTTTTAATTGAGGGTGAGATAAGGAAAGGGTTTAATTTGTGCCTAGGCATAGATGTTACAGGATGCACGCGTAGGCTGTGCTTGAGATGTTACATTTTATAATACTGCCCAACCAATCCAAGTTTTGTCCATCCCGTAGCTTTTGCCCTGGTCCACCCCCAGCCCACCCCCTGGGAATTGGGTCTGGGGGCTTTTGGAACCACCTCTTCATCATCTTCATCATCTTCAGAGTACAGAGGGTACACGGTCACCCAGTTCTTGACTGTGTTCTGTTGTTCAGGCCAGGATATGAGTGTTCTCTAAACAGCCTAGGCCTTGCCTTGACAAAAGACTAAACATTTTCTACTGAATTCAGGGGTAGAATTGGTATGGGGAGCATGGAATGGGGTAAGAGGGTTGAGGAATGTGTAAATTAAAGGGTGCTAAAGGGTGAGGAATAAGGACTGCTGCTTCTAAAATCTACTTCTACTTCTTATAAAACTTAGAAAATTGGGAAAATAAGAAAAAACCAGGTGGACCTTATGGCATCAAATGATAGAGCAGACTAATTATCCACCTACTGTAATACCAAAATAATTTTAAATTGAAGTAGTAAACCCCGGAATTATATTTGCTGTTGATACAAAATATAATTCTGAATCTTTCTGTATTCTCTAGTCTCAAGGTCTTTTTCACTGTTTAAGTAGAATAATTAATTCTGAGATTCATGTCTCTAATGAATAGATGAAAATGCTGTTATTAGAACATGTTATGTACTGTATGCTGAAAAGACTCTAATTTGTCTTGGTATGAATTATGCCTTTCATAATTTATGTCTTAAAGATCAGATATTGCTTTGAACTGACCTACATAGCATTAAGTAAATGTCAGTGCTGGGCAAAAGCCTTCCAGTGTTGGTGACCTGAACAGAGATGTTGTGCCAACAGTACATCAGGTTTAACAAAGAGATATTCAGTGATTGCATGCAGATAATTTTGTATTAGCATTATTTTTCATCAACATTAATTGCTCTCAGTTTGCTTTATAATATCCTGCAAAAACTATGTGGAATATCCTATGGAAAACACCATGTGCTCGATATACAGCACCTGCTTTAAACAAAAGAAATTCTTCTCATGATAAATTCTGTTTTTAATGACACCTATGAAGGGTGATTGAATTGTTATTCCTCTCTGTTGAAGATATGGTTGCAGGAACACAGAAGTAATTTTCATCAGGAGGAGAAAGTTCCTTAAATATAGGATGTAAATCCATATGTATGGCATGGTTTATAAGAAGACAAAATAAAGAGTTTTAGTCAATAATAAGAAAAAGTATTTATTACATTAATAGGAGATTCACAGTAAGCCAGTGAAAGATGATATGCTATATTGAGGAAGAGCATGCCACGTGGTAAAAACCAGGAGAAAGCTGTTGCCAGTGTAACCAATGGCCATAAATCCATTCTGACTGTAGGTGCCTGGGGTTCCCTATGTAGGTCAGCACAATTTAGACCTTCAGCACTTTATTTTTCTTTCTTAACAGACTCTGGTATAATAATTGAGTAACTCATTAAATACCACAGACTAAGCAAGATCAAGTTGCACTTATGCTCACAGAGAAGTCCTTAATGAAAAATTCTTAATGATATTATATGTTGTTGTAATAATTCAGCAACAGAGGCAATTTCCTGTGCTGTAGTTTTTAGAATTTGAATCATTATCTACTGCACACTTGCACTGTATCTACTCTTTCATTATTAGCCTTGATTTTTTCTTCTTCCAAACTCTTGCACACCTCTGGATGCTGAGGAGCAGTTTGGCGTGTCGGCCCCCGAGTACCTCCACAACCACCCTGTAAGGCAGGGCATAGGAGCACATCTGGGGAGCCTGTTCTCCCTGCCCAGCCTCCGGCACAGTGAGGCTGCAGTGGGGCTGCTGAGACAGGAACCAGGCCTAAAAGAGTTAACTGAGATATCTTGACCTGCTAAGAAACCCCAATACCTGTTTTGCTAGAAGAACATTTTAGGAGCACTGGTTAATATCATGTTCTGTTCTGCTCAGTGGACCAAAGGCCTTATTATAGAAAGGAGTAGTACAGACACAGTAATAAATTTGGTAAACTAGACGTTTGAATAAGACCTAGAAGGCCCAGAGCCAGGATTTTGCAAGCTTGAAGAATTCAGGTCACCTAATTGAAGAGGTCAAATTGAGGAAGACCTCCATGGCAACCACCAAAGGGATGAAGGCTTGAGGAGAAGACCTCCACAATAGAAGATTGCGCATGTCTGGAAAGACTCCGCCCAGAGACTAGCCTGCTTATTAATATGTATGTTAAATGATGTAACCATGTATCTAAAGTGTATCAAATAGCTTGCTTTTGCACTTTCAAGTCGAGCAAGTTTGTCCAGCATGAGCTGGCTTGCTCCCAACGTTAAATAAACCTTGCTGTTCAAAGATCCAAAAGTCTATGAGCAGTTCTTTATACCGGATTTTTTTTGGATTCACTACTAAAGGAACAGTTGCTTCTCTCTCTGACGTGTCTCTCTGAAAAACTTTTAGTGACTGGATTTTGACCATAATGACCGCTTTATCCTCAGGAAATTTCTTTAAAGGAAAATAGCAATCTTTGGCTCTGGACATGTGCCACCTTACATTTGTGAAGTGATGTCCATGTGGAGAGTTTGTATGATGCTCTACAAAGACCAATGTAGGTACATTTTTTACCAGTTACAAAAGATTGTTTAAGTCATGACTTTTTAGACTCCTTAAGAAAAATATGAACATACTTTTCTGTAGAGTCAATTCTTTCAAATACTTCAAAGGACAAACCCTCCTGAAGGTGACCAATAGAAAGGAGAAAGAAACATACAGCCTCTATTTCAGTACTTGTTAAATTGTATACAGCACTTCCATATTTGCAATATTTCTGCCAAAGCGTGAGCATCCTGGCATAGAATTGTTTCTTTCTCTTTCAATATGACCTTTTAATAGCCTGAAACTATGAATGACAAGTAGAACCATGTTTTCCTGTCACCTATTTTGTTTGTGTATACCAAAATGCAACTCCCTGTTTCACAAAAAGTGGCACAAGGTGTTCATTTTCCAGTGGTCAGAAGTAGAAAAAGAATTACTTCATTTCTTTTACTTTTCCAAGTTCTTTCTTCTGTACTTTTTTTTTTTTAAATATTATTCTTAAAATACAGTCCGTCAATTTCTGTCTGGTTCCAGAGATGGTAAATTTTGTCTCTTTGCACTCATTTCTGAAAGTACTTGTTTCCTATAGGTGCTGTTTTTTCACTTTGTTTCATTCTCATATTGGAGTTAATTACATTTAAACAAAGAGTAGTGCTCAGGTTGCCATTGGTAATCTTAAAAAAAATTAGCAATTACAATAGTATACTATATAATGATTGCTCATTGTTATTAAGATTACCAATGATTAAGGATTTTCCTATGGGGAAATTGGGTTGGCTTTGGTGTGACAGTAAGCCTACCTTCTGTGAAAACAGCATTGATTAAGTGGCTCTTGTGATTCCTCATATTCTACCAAGAGGACATTCTGTGTACTTCACAGTTACATTATGTTACTTCACGTCTTTCCTGAAAAGCTAATACTTTTAAATGTAATATTACAGGGGAAATAATCCTTGGTATCATACTTTTAAACTGAGAAGAAAGTCTGGATATTTGCTGTGCAGAACCTGTAGGAAGTCCGGGACAAAATCAATACTTCGATCACTACTTCACTTCTTGATCTGGGTCATTTTTACACCTATAGCTAATGACCTTTTGAAAAAAACTGTACAGTACCTAGTCTAGGTATAAATAAGAAACTTTATTCTCCAGAGTTGTTAGTCTGATACTTCTTAATAACACATAAGTTCACTATGCATTAACTATGTAGGATGTTTGACATTTGTAATTCTAGACTAGAAGACAGGCACTGGAGAGCTGAAGCACCAGCTCTGTCCTTACCTTACCCTGTGGCCTTAGGAAGCCTCTTCAACTTTTCAGTTTCTCCATCTGAAAAATAGAGATAACATTTTCCTATCTAGGTAGCAGGAGTCCTTTGAACTAATTCATGTCTTATCAATTTTATGCAAAAGCAATAGGAGTCAGTCAGTTCTACAAAAATGATTTAGTAAAATGGGTTTTAGTCTGTTGAGAGACCATTTAAAGACCATTGGGAATTAGTATTTTCAAGTCATGATCAGTTTAACACACTTTGGAGGAATCTTCACCAGTCATGGAAGAATAAGCACCTTAGGTCTTTTGGTTTACAAAGGAAAACCTTGAAGAGATATATGATAACAGATTTACAGACCCATGAAAGTATTGTATAAGATGACAGTGGTACTGTTACTCACCATTTCTCACAGTTCTGGAACTTGGGGACAACTGGTAAAACTGATAGATAGTAATTCCAAAAGACATATAAGTATGGTTTTATACGGCAGGTCATGAATATCTGAAGCTTCCTGCCACAGGAGTTTATGGAAAGAGGAAGTATTTTGAGGTTCAAAAAAGAGCTGAGCAGATTTATGGAATTTAAGCAAAGAATCTAGTAGTTTAATAACTTGCTCTTCTGATCTTCTTTTCTTTTTGTTTTAATGAAGATGTGAACTGATATTTATGGAGAACTGTTGGACTTTTTGCTAAGAAAAATGAAAGGAAAATGTTTGAGAAGGTCTTGAGTTGAAAGCTTTAAAAACACTTGCCATGAAGAAATCTTGCTATCTTAATCATTACAGACGTATACAAGTTTCTTCATGCTTCCCATTTTTTTGGGAAATAAACTGGTAAAAATGTTTAAAAAGTTATATTATAGGCTTTTGACAGATTTTTTGTCTAACAGTTTTATAAATTCTGACTTAATACATTTATTTGAATAAAATAACCCTACCAAACTGAATCAAGCAGCTTTTAACTTATTCTCTGTATTAACCATATTTAATTCAAAGGTTTTAAACTTCAGCAACTGTCAGTGCTTAGAGTTAAAATCTCTGCCTGCAAAGTTCAAAAAAAAGAAAGATATTTCCCCTCTCTCTGAAAGAAGAATTCTTCAATGAAGCAGAAAGGACTGTGAATCTCTGAAAAAATAAAAATTCCCTTTTTTTGTAAGATGAACCTGAACTAAATTGTAGAGAATAAAATGTTAAAACATCTTTATATCTACAATCAAAATATGAAGTTGTTGAGCTTATATTTATACAAAGAATGTTTATGCAGTGCAAAACCCATGAAATTATCATTAGACAGTTAAAATACTTATTTCTGTTCTGTAATTTTTGAATGACTAAGGGGGATGGAGGTTTTATGAAGTGTTGATTTACTATTTGAGAAATGTCACTTTTTGTAACAAAAGAAAGGCTGATTTTCTATTCATACCAACTATTTACATTTACTCAAGTAAAAGTACTTGAGGATTCATGACAGGTTTTTTTTTCCTTTTCTATACAAAGATTTTTTCAAAATAAAATGAAAGGCAATTTATACTTCCTCATCTCTATCAGTTCCTTCTTTCCAAAATAAATGTCATCTGTTAGTGCATTACTTTTAAAATATTTTTCTCCAAATCTCTTTATCAATTTGTGCTCCTCCTAGTTTTCAGACCACAGAAGTTCTTATGACCTTTTAGTGATATTTAATATTTTTCTCTAGCTAATCACGAAGGAGTTTCAATGTTGTCAAAAAAACCCAAAAAACAAACAAACCAAAACCCTATTTGCTTTTAATCTTTTTATTTTTCAGAGAAGATAAATGTCAAGCTTTGTTCTTTGAATACAGCTACTCCCTTATTACAGCTTAGAGTAGTGCAGATACATAACTGTCTGTCTCCAGACACCTTCACAAAAAGAGTTGTTAATCACAGAGCATTCTGCCATGCACGGATTTTCTTGAGTTGTGGTGAATATGGTAGTAACCTTCTCACAGGTAGGATATTCTGCATTTTTATTAACTAGGACATTGTCTTGTCAGGAAAACACTTCATCATGTGCTTACTGATAGACTTCTTTCAACTTTATTTTAGCAGCACATTGAAAATATTGATCCTCCTATATCTCTGGCCTATTTAAATCCATTCCATTTGCTGTTCATCTTCTGCTCTCTGTTTTCTTCTATTTTCTACCTTATAATGCTGAATCTGCCTTGCCCATTCTCCCACTCCCCAGTATTTTTTGTTTTTCTATTTATTTTTTTCTTATAAACCCTGCTTGCCACACCTGACAAGGCAGGAATTACCTGGTGGTTCAGGCGCTGACCAGCTTCCCATGCCTCACCATAGATCATATAGATAATTTGCACACTAAATGAGAATGACTGTGCAAATATCCACATAAGAAAATTATTTTCTGTTCAATTTATTCCAAAAACCTAATTGTCAGATCATAGATGGAGAGAGACATTATTCAAGATTATTTTGACTAACAAAGCGAATTTTATTTTTTTGCAATTTTTCTTCTGAGCTTTTTAGTTGTTTATTTAATATCTAGTGCAGAGCAGAATGGCCAATGGTGACTGCAATTTCAGTTGCTCTGAGAACTATTATTGCATATAGCAGTATTTTTTACGTACATAATCCTTAAATCAAGGTAAAGAGTACAGATCATGGGATGCTCGACTGCATGATATTCAGAGGTCCATTCAAAAACTATAATGACCTCTAAAAATTTATAAAGTTTTGAGTGCTCCAACTAAAGAAACATACCTTAAATTGATAAAGTCCATCATTTTAACTGCAGGCTGGAAATCCAGAGTGATTGAAGTGGGAGGAGACCTCTGAAGATCATCTGATACAACATCCTGCACAAACCAGGGTCATCACCTACAGCAGGTTGCTCGCAGCTATGTCCCACTGGATTTTGAATATAACCACATGTGAAGACCCAACAATATCTTTGGATAACCTTTGCTAGTGTTTGATCACCCTCAAAGTAAAAAGTATTTTCTTATACTTAATTGGAAATTTTTTCTATGTTTCAGCTTGTGCCCATTACCTCTTGTCCTGTCACCGGCCATCACTGAGAAGAATCATGTACGTTTAATCAAATGTACATTAAGTAATTTTTCTGACAATACTAAACTGGGAGGAGCTGTGGACTCCCTTGAAGGTAGAGAGACCTTATGGAGATATCTGAATAAACTAGGAAGCTGGGCAGTCACCAAGCGTACGAAATGTGACAAGATCAAATTCTGGATTCTCCCCCTGGAATGGGGCAATTCTGGTTATAGGTACAAATTGGTGGACAAGAGGCTGAAGAGCAGCCCCGAGGAAAGAGAAATGCAGGTCCAGTTCAATGTCACATTGAACATGAGTCAACACTATGCCTTGATATTCAAAAGGGCCAATCATGTCTTGAGGTGCATCAGACACAGCATTACCATCTGGTTGAGGAAGGTGATTGTTTCACCTTGCTCTGCACTGTGCTGGTGCAGCCGTACCTCGAGTGCTGGGTGCAGTTTTGGGCACCTCAATACAAGAGGGATATCAAAATATTAGAACATGTCCAAAAGAGAAGGACTGAGATGGTTAAAGGTCTCAAGGACAAGAATTATGAGGAATGACTGAGGTCACTTGGTTTGTTTAGCTTGGAGAAAAGAAGGCTGAGGTGTAACATCATCGCGGTCTACAACTTTCTCAAGAGGGACAGCAGAGGAAGAGGGTGCTGATCTCCTCTCTCTGATGACCATCAATAGGATACAAGGAAATGGAATAAAGCTACTTCAGGGGAAAAGGAAAAAGTTTTTCACTGAGGGCGCGGTTGGCTGCTGGAACAGGATCTCCAGAGAAGTGGTCATAGTACCAAGCCTGTCAGAGTTCAAGGAGCATCTGGATAATGCTCATAGTCCTATGGTTTAGTTTTAGGTAGTCATTGCAATAAGTGGGTAATTGGACTCAATTATCCTTATAGTCCCTTCCAACTTGAGATGTTCAATGATTCTGTTTCTCTCCTCTTTACTCCCCCCGATCAAATATTTATACACATTAATAAGATCACTCGTCTCCAGGCTGAACAGTTCCAGCTTGTTCAGTCTCTCCTCTTAAGGCATATACTCCAGTTGCTTATTTATCTTTGTAGCTTTTCACTGGACTCACTCCAACACATCCACTGCTGCCTTGAAATGAGGATCTCAGTGAGCTCAGCACTCTTCTGAAAAAATGAAAATTTTTTCAGGAACCCATTTCACTGATGTGTATCAGTGGAGCTGGGTGAAGGGAAGGATTATCTCCCTTGACCTGTTGGCAGCACTTCTCCTGTTGCAGCCCAGTAGGTTGTTGTCATTTTTAGTCATGAGAGCACATTGCTGGCTTTGATTCTGCTTGGTGCCCACCAGCACCACCATAAACTTCTCTGCCGAACTGCTCTACAACCAGTCTCGGCCTGTACTGATAACTGGAGTTATTTGTCCCTAAGGCTAGAACTCAGCATTTCTACTTGCTGAAATTCATGAGACTTCTGTCAGTCCATTTCTTCATCTTTTCAAGGTCGTTCCCAATAGCTGCACAACAGTCTGGTTTAACAACTACTCCTCCTACTTTTGCAACATCACTTGTATGATTCAGGTCAAACAGCGAACAATGTTAATAATTGTTATATATTTCTTATCTTATAAAAGACAAAAAACCCCAAAAATTGTTCTTGCATTTATCAGCAAGTGTTCATATATATAGATCAATTAGTTCTTGTATATGCCCAGGTTAACAAATGTAGCTAATCTAAGAAACAAAATGCCCATTAACATTTAGTATGCAGACAAAATATAAATTCAATGCCTGAAGATTGCATATTTTTGAATGCTACAATAAATTGTAATAAACAGAATAAGATTATATGTATTTTTATTTTTGCCTGAAAATGCACTCTCTAAATCATACTTTTTGTAATGTAAAATTGTATTTGTAAATGTGTAATACAACATGATTTATCTTCAGGCAAGACAGCTTACTTTGGAAGTCTTGATGTTTTCACTGGCAAAAGACGTTTTAGAGAATGCAGGTGTTTTATATTAAAAGTACAGCA